AAGCAAAGTTATTACTTGTGAACGGACAGTACGGCAAAAAAAATCGTAAATACGGTTTAATATTTAACGGACGGCTCCAGATGGCCAGCCACGACCTCTATGTCGGATATGAATTTGGGGCCTTACTTCTTCGTCATAGACACTTCAGTTTTAGTGAAACTTCGTCCAAAGTTGTGCCCACCATCTAGCAAGCCTGTTGTTCATGGCGTAAGCACAGGGCCTATTTACGTTTTGTTGCATAAATTATGCACGAAATATGGCACTACGTTTTTTCGCGCTGAAACGTGTAAAATACGTAAATACAGGTCCTTTCCACATAATGGCAGGTTCGAGGAGTCAAATACATTGGAATTGAATATATATAACTGTGTGTGCTACCAGATAATCTCCCTTGGCCCGCTGCTCTTTCAACGAAGTGGGTACTATTGTGTCTCTTGCGCCCAAATGAGTTTATCATTGCTATGTATTCATGTGTTCGAATAGATTTGCCGATTTTTTTCCATATTGCATATATTTGATACTGTCTCCATGACTCTTCGCAGATCGACCGCACTGGGGTGGACGTGGTTAAGGCTTCAGAGGTCTCAAATACAAATCAAGTTGCGAGGCGACTGAATTTCTTTTGAGCAGATGTTAATTTAAGCCTTTGGTGGATTTGTTGTTCAATGGTTCATAAACACCGACTCTTGCGAATAGCTATGGTGGCGAAGTGGGTGTATCAACAAATTTCTTTTCCAATGATTCTAATGATCAGTGACTTAAGCGAATTAGTCTGTTTCATTTTCACCTACGGGATCGCTTGGCAACAGCATTGGCCGAGAAAACCTGCCTCTTCAGTTCCTGCCTTAGTGGTGGCTATGCGCACTTGAGAGAAATGCTTGCCTACGTGAGGGCGATTGCAGACGGCAGGGTGCCCGAATTTCGCACCGCTTGACTTATGAAAATAACCTTGCAAATGCGTGTGCCTTTCGATGACGTTGATGCGGCTAAGGCGTTCCTTCGGGCATTCATTCCACCATGCATTTATCCATGTGCTGGTGCGTCGCAGTGCATTTAGATACCTTCAAGCCAACAGCGTATTTAGGCAACTGCACGGTTTCCTGAATACACAAAGACACTTCTGTCGCAGCGAAGGCATATTCATCTAGTGTGTAGTGCTTCTCCTACAGACACAATCTAGCTACAATGAAAATCTCGTTGATGGATGCATAGCTTCCGTTTTTGCTCGATGTTGGGCAGTGTCTGGTCATGCCAATGTGCTACAAGGCAGTGCCTTGCTTCAAGTACATCCATTCAGTCTTTCTCGCTGATGTGAAATTAAATTCGTATGTTTGAAAATTTTCAAAATATCGTTGACCACACGTCATTCTTTCAAACACATATGCCTACAGCAATTCACTATCACTTCATGCGTCGTCATTACTGCATTTTGTTGGTTGTGCATCTGTCGAGCATTTGTTATGTCACATATCACCTCAGCACCGTCAATGAACTCGATACTCGATGGGTAATGAATTCGATACTTAATTCAGAACACAGTAGAGCCATCTAGGGGTCTGACGGGGGACTCTCGTGCGAGTCAGAGCGGCATGCTATGGTATTGATGGAGAGAGCAAAATCAGAGTGATGCGCCCTTTGCCAGAAAACAAGCATTGAGCGCCAGGTACCTGTGATACGTGTGGAAACATTCTGATGGGACTGCAGAGCACACCATCATGGAGAACATATTTGGATTCAGGATTTACTGAAAAAGAACGAACAGAATATGCACATAAGGATGTGTGGAGTGATGCTCTACTGGAATGCACCAATCGCACTCACGAAGTTGCAACAATGTCTGTTCCATAAAAAGTCTTGAGATGGCCAATATTGGAGTACATGTGGCTTCAGCACCAACTACACTCATCATGTACATGAGACAAACTGAAAACGCCGTTACGTGATGTCTAATGTTCTCGTTTCTATCCCAAATTAGAACGGCGGCATAGCGCATCAGCACCGCTGCCACAAATGCATCAATATTGTGTGGTACAGCGGTTAGCACGTGCACATGGCAGTGCAGAGTGCGTGAAAAATGGTGCAATAATATTGGAGCCGGTAAGGTGTTTGCGCAATCTACAAAGATATTGATACCGTATTTAGCCGGTATTGCTAACCACCCTCTATTAGCATCCAGTGGATGTTATCCATCATTCTCTTTGGAAGTCGAAACCACATTCATATCCATGGCCCGGTGTCAGTAGCCACCACAAAACTTCAACACAAACGGGCTCAGGAAGGCTCGTTGGATTCGCCTCGGGGAGAGGAAACTGGTTCGCAGGTCTTTGCTTGCACGGCACTTTATTGCACACCTTAAACATGCAAGTGCTGCCAAATCTGCTCACCCTGCATTGCGATGCATGTGGTGGTTGCAACCTCACAGCTTGAGCAGCTAATCTGATGGGGAAGAAGGTGTTTGCTTGTCTAGCGACTACAAACCATGCGCCCATGGCACAGTTACGGGCCTGGCGTCGTCTGCAGACCTGCTGGTATTGATTGTTGCTGCTACTTCCCCAGCATTGGAAAATGCATCCGACCGCTTCAACTGCGTGCAGCATGGCCTGCCAGCCTAACACGGATGTGCCTGCCATGCGCAATAGGATCTCCTTTGACCTTTCTCGGCCGTGGGGGAGCCCGATGCTTATCTTTGGAATCTTGCATTGCGTCCAAATCATTTCAGGGCGTTTCACAGCACACTCTTCAAAACTTTCCTTGTCTAATACTTGGTTCAGGGTCTAAACGGCTTTAGTATCCATGTCCCACTATTAGTATCCACCGCTCATTTTGGGGTTCCAGTACGCGCCTACTAGTACCGAGCAAATTCGGACGCTGCGTCTGGTAGCTATAGACGTGTACGAGACTCCTATATTCCTCAAAATGTATCCACGAGCTTGAGCAGAATATGCAGCAATCGGATAGCAAGTACAACAGGTCTTCCACCAACTCACACCAATGCATACAAACAAATGAGTTTAATTTCACGTACCAAATTCAATATCCACCAACTCATAAGATTTCCCTATGGAGAGAGGCGGGCGAGTTATCTCCGTACCCAGAACTCTGAACAGGTTACTGTACTTTGCCGTGTCTAAATTTTAAAACAAACTTCAATTTGGTGAACCATAACAAGCTCTCCATCCGCCGGTTGGATATTTTGCAGGTGCGGTGAAATTGTGCATCTGTGTGCTGACTAATTGAGACCTTTCACAGACCACACCGCAAGTCCAAACGTTTCCAGTACCATCAATCAGCTGCACTCCCGCTGCTGCGCTAGGCATGCTGAATCAAATAAGAACAATGTACACATACGGTTGCCGCATGCTCTAACATCGTCCCGGAGGGTACTCCTTGAGCATTGTTGTCCCTCCGCAGCCACAACGCTTGGTCCGTTGAAAGCGACGCAATCGCTCCTGTCTCCTTGAGATACACACTAAACTCCCTCTCCCGATGCAATTCACAGTTCCATCATCGAGATCACATACTTTTGTCCGTCTGAAGACGTTCACGACTGGGAAGAGCAGCAACTGCTCAGGGTGTACTGTCCTAAGGAATAGAAGTTTTGTGCTGGCAGGGCAATCGCAATGGTGCTGAGAGAATTTCTGTGCATTCAAACACACGACTTCCGCCGCTGGCTTGAATCCACAGCGGAAACGGCAGTGCTGGAAAGGGAAGGAAGAACAGCCAACGGCGAAAGATGGCAACACAACGGCAACTGGCCTCCTTTATCGCAGCCGCTTTGACATCCCATGGAGTTGTCGTGTAGCACCATGGGAAACAGCTGCTCGAAACAAATTCGGCAAGGCAAAACCTTTCTGAGAGGCAGCCAGCTGGAATTTCATTTCACCCTGTGAACAGGCTTGTTGTTTGCGTTTGCTTTGCGTTCTTGTGTTTGAATTCCTATGCGTAAAAACGCAAATTTGCAAGAAGCTATATTTACAGCTGTTTTCACGTTTTTACGGCTTGTTGTGACTCCCAGTTTACACAATGGAAGCTGCGTACAGTGATCAGTAATCCGCCCCCTTGGGCGCCCGCAACACAGATTACAGCGTTCCCACTCGGCGAGGGCCACGACGGAGTGGAACAAAATTCATTTTCTGCCCATTCCAGTGCGTCTGTATGCCATTCCCCGGAGTCCCGAAAGCTGTGTGTACTGTAACGGGGCTGTATTTACGTTGTTTTACGTAATTTACGCTTTTTTCTGCGCAAAAACTAGAAAATATTTTTTACGCGTAAAAACATAAATGCAATCTGTGTATACGCGTAAAACACAAGCCTGCCTGTGAACACAGGGAAGAGGCAGTATCTACATTCTATTAGAATCTGCCCGTCAGAGGTGTTCAAGTCCAGCTCTTGGATTCAGGCGATTTCGATCCTGCAAAGGCTTTGAGGTAGATTGTGAAAAGACAGCGTGGGTTGGCTTCTTGAGATCTCTTTCCATCGTTCGAGGCCCCAAAACATGCACCAACATGGTAATGCATTCGACAGCAGGTCAAGAAACATGTACCCCACAGCCCTGTTGTGTTCCAGCCAACACCAGGCAGTCCTTTTCCAGCGGCACTGCACGACATACCAGCTCCTCACAGAGCATCAAGAAATTTTCTTACAGCACAGTTACTTCTTGGCAAACACCCCATTGCCCAGCTGGTGCAACACGTCTTTGCTCTGTCATTTCCGCTGTTTGCAAAGTGTCTGGCTGCGTCCACCATGCTATCCCAGAGTTGCCCCTTTGCATCCATGCTCCCCATTAGACGCCAGCCCCTGTTTGGGGAACTGCCCAAGCTACACGCTCACACCTTAGGGCAGAGCACATCACGCAGCAGTGCCTACCACCAGCCTCAGTTCTGCTTCCAGAGCATACCACAATCGCAAGCTGTTCGCCACCTCCACTGAGGGAATGCGCCCAGCATCCATGCAACCATTTTGCAACCCTTCCAACAACGGCTACATAGCTTCCATGTCCATTATTCGGAACCAATTGTTGCACTGTCTGTCTTATTCCGGGCATCATCCAAGGCTGGTTTGTGCAACGAGTTGCTGCTCATAGGTACGAAGAGGTAGCCCACGAGCATATGAAAAAAGAAAGAGCAGACCTCACCCCAAACGCCATAGAACCAATGGCGTTCCACTGTTGCATACTGCAAGAAACTCACCACGATTCGTGTGAAGTAGAAGTGCACTGCAATTGTAAAGGAAAATATGGTCCAGCGCTGCACTTTCAATATGTGCGAGGGATCTGATTCAATTCTTGAGACCCGGCAGTACTCCAAGCCAAACACCACAAACAACAGCGGCGCATGAACTGCTGCAGCATGAAGCATAAGGCCATCATACAAGAAGCCTGGATTGACCACTGCCAAATTCGCTATGGCCGCCTTCAAGTTAGGCACCACATAGGACAGCAAACAGAAGACAACTGAGGAATGCAGGGCACTTACAACCGGACGCCTTAAAATGGCAAAGAAGGCTTTGGGGAGTATTTGTGCACGGACCTCCAGCATGAAGGACGGATAAACAGTCAGTAGGGCACCAAAACTTCCAATATCCATGACCCAGTACAAGTCACTCCAGGTCATCCATGACTTGAGAACCGGTGAGCAATTTGCCAGCACGATTGCAGCAACGCTGGCAGCACCCTGCATGAGGCAGGCCAGCAGCAAGGCTGCCTTGTGGCCTAGGCCAAGATGCGCTGTGGAATGTGTCCAGCCTGCCTTGAGGAGCACGAGAACCGCAACCAAAGCAACAGCATGCATGCTGTTGAACAAGTGGAAGGCAGTGCTCAATGCAGATGGATGGCCAGTGGCATTTATGCTTTGCAGCATGCCTGCCTTGGCCATACATGCAACATGCTTGAGAACGACCGCTGACAGCATCAGAAGATGGATGTGGCGAATCTGCAGCTCGTTCTGGCATATGCAGGCCCACCATGCTGCCAGCAGCAAGAAGAGCAGTGAAATGACCTGGCGGTGCACAGCCAGCCACAACACAGCTGTGAGAAGATCAGCTGTGGCAGCATCATTGGATTGTGTGCTGCAACGAATACTCTAACCCCTGAAGTTGGCACTGTACATTTGTCCAGGCATTAGCTGTAAATAGCACTCAGCTCAAGGCACAGGCAAAAGGCAGAGGGACTCATCAACATACCCCGCCCCCCACCCACCAACAGTTTCTTGGGCCGTGGGGGCCCACAAGGCTCTCTGGTATGGATGCCTGTCAGCATTGGCACTCCTGTTGCCCACCAGCCATTTCCCATAGCCCACCGAAACAGCATGATTGTTCCCAATATCTTGAATGCACTGCAGTGGTGGGTTTCAGGCCGCCGAACATCAACAGATCAACAGATGAGGAGGCTCGACAAGGCTCACCACGTGCGCCGCTGGCAGCTTCTCGTCTCCGACACCCAGATACTGCCGCCGCCCCCACGAGTCTCGATTGTGCATGGACACCACGGCATCGAACGACACCTCCACGACGTCGGGCCCCCGGTTCATGTACATAAGGGCCCACCGCCCGGGGCCCGGCTCCACACTGGCGTTCGCAGCGGCTTGTTCCATCCCCTCCCTCTGCGCCAGGCCGCCCCGAAAATTGAAGGTGAAAAAAATGTGGCAGTCGGGGTACGCCGGGGCCGGTCCGCACGCCTTGCTTTTACCGAATCTGTCGCACTGCATTCCCAGCACCCACGCATCGTTGGCGGGCACCATGCACAAGTAAGCCCTGAGGAAGGAGTCCCTGAAGAGGGCGGCGGGGAGCCGCGCCTCCGCGTTGCGAATCTCCA